TATATGTGTATTAAATTATGTACTTATAAATTGTATTATATTGTTTAATTTCGTCTTACTTAAATACCATGTATAGGATAATATTATAAATATTTATTACTTTTTAATGTTATACAATATACATGTAGTTATATAATGGATCAGTCAACAAAGCTGAATTTATTCAAGGACAATAAAAAAAAAAAAAACTAGTTTAAATGCTTGGAAGTTGTGGAAATTGAATATATTCTTATTTATGATGAATCAAAATTATTATTTATTTCTATTTTTGAAATTACTTYMAATAAATATTACATATTATTTTTAATTAAGAAATTTAAGCAATGCACCATCGTATAGTTTTTTGATCTTGTCAACTACGATTCTTTCACGCAATTTTTATTAATTTGCTTACTATCCATTGTTTTGATTAAAAATAGTTGATAGGCAGCTAGTGGTCTAAGTATAACCTTTATGAAACTTTGGTCTTTTATTGCTATCATAATATTTTGTAATATAATTYAATAACATTATTATTTTATTTRTATATTAAAGTTTCGTCAGCATACTTTGTGAATACCCACGTAAGCATAAAAAAAAAAATTTGATAAATTATATAATCATATTTTATTTGTATTTTATTCTACTCAGATCTATTGTTTATTATCCAATTAAAATAATGATGATTTTAATCGAATAATTTAACTATTGCATTATTTCTGTTATTCAAGTGATAAAAAGGGAAATAGTATAAATATTGATTTCATGTAGCCTACGATTATCATTCAAAATCAGATACCAACAAGATGAGGACGACTCATATAAACGTTCTATTACTGTCTGTATTGGTAGTTCAGGAAAGTAAAAAAAAATATTGCGTAGCATAAATTAAAATACATAAAATAATTTTTTATTTAATTTAATTCAATTGTATATTAATAAATAATTATATTTGATATTAATATGTTATAGATTTCCTCTGAAACTACTGAACTAGATAAAATATTAATGAAAATTCTATCATCTTCGTTTGAGGTTGTYGCAAAACCTATCAACGATTTATTAAATGAAATACCAATGAAATCAAATGTAGAAGGTTATTTGCATGAATTCTGGTGGAAATCAAAGCTACTTATGGAACAAGTCCAAGATGTAACTAGTAATATTTTATATTTCGAAAAATTATAAAATCGTTTATTGTCTTGACATT